TGGTAGCACACACCTGTAGTTCCGGCTACTTGGAAGGCTGAGGCGGAAGGATCGCCAGAGACCAGCAGGTCGAGGCTACAGTGGCCAGGAGCATGCCACTGCCCTGCAGCCTGGGTAACAGAGTGAGGCTCCAACTCAAAAAAAAAAAAAATCACCTCTTTGAAGATCCATCTCCAAATGCAGTCACATTCTGAGGTGTGGCAGTGTGAATTTGGGGGAAACACAATTCAACCCATAACACTGTTAGCTGGCTTATTACCAAAATGTGATATTTTATTCTTCATTCCAAGACAGTGAGACCTTTGCTCATTTAACTGGATACACGTCTTAACATCTGTCATCTGTTCTCTCAAATTCATCTGTTGAAACATTAACCCCAGAATGATGGTATTAAAAGATGGGCATTTGGGAAGCGATTAGACCGTGAGAGTGGAGCCTCATGAATGGAATTAGTGTTCTTTTTTTTTGTTTTTTTGCGTTGGAGTCTCACTCTGTCTCCCAGACTGGAGTGCAGTGGCCATTTCCAGCCACTGCAGCCTCGCCTCCCGGGCTCTGGCAATCCTTCCACCTCAGCCTTCCAAGTAGCCAGAATTACAGGCGTGCGCTACCACACCCAGCTGATTTTTTGATTTATTGTAGAGATGAGGTCTTGCTGCCCAGGCGGGTCTCGAACCCGCGGGCTCAGGCAATCCACTCACCTCAGCCTCCCAAAGGCGCGGGATTACAGGCTGAGCCACTGAGCCCGGCTGGAATTAGTGTTCTTACACAAGAGACCCAGAGAGCTCCCTCACCCCTTCTACCACCTGAGGACCCAACAGAAAGGTGCTGTCTTTGAGGAATGGGCCCTCCCCAGACAACACGCCTGCTGGCATCATGAGCTTGGTCTTGTAGCCTCCGGTGAGAAACAAGTGTTTGTTGTTCATAAGCCACCCAGTCTGATACTTTTGTTATAACAGACAGAATAGACTAAGACAACATTTATCTAACTTGTATCTTGACGTCTATCTATACCTATATTCTAATATAGACGTATACACATATCCTAATATCAAACTTAATTAACATCTGTCTATACATACATCCTAATGTCTATATCTATACACATCTCAACATCTGTATATACCGATATATTAACATCCACAATATGCATTTCCCAACATCTGTCCATACATGCATTCATCTGTGTGCATAAATTAACATCTATCTGTACCCATATCCCCACATATGTCCATACACACCTATCTATACCTTATGTTAACATCTGTCTACAACTTTATCTTAACATCTATTTACACACACAGCTTTGTATCTATCGATACCTGTGTGTTAACATCTACCTATTCACATATCTTAGAATCTAACTATTCACATATCCTAACATCTGCTTATATGCCCATTTTAACATCATACACTCATCTTAGTATCGATCATGTGCATATATTAACATTATCTATCCCCATATCCTAACGCCTATCCAAACACACCCTGGAGCATCTGTCTGTGTGCATTATGGACACTTATCTGTACCCGTCTCCTAACATCAGTTCATGCACACATCTTAGCAGCTGTCGATACCCAAATTTTAACCTCGGTCTGTACCCGTGTCCTAACGTTGATCTCTGCACACATTCTAACGTCTCTCTGTGCCCACATCATAGCATCTGCCTAGATCTGTATCCAACATCTGTCTGTGCCCGCATCCTAATGGATCCCTACGTGTGTCCCTAACGCTGTTCCCTCCCACACCCCAACCCTCACACGTGTGCTGGCCTCCCACAGGTTCTGGACCTGGCACGATGAGCGCTTCCTCTACATGCTGATGGAGTTTGTGCCGGGCGGTGAGCTCTTCAGCTATCTGCGGAACCGGGGTCGCTTCGCCGCCACCACTGGGCTCTTCTACTCCGCGGAGATCATCTGCGCCATTGAGTACCTGCACTCGAAGGAAATTGTCTACAGGGACTTGAAGCCAGAGAACATACTGCTGGATAGAGACGGCCACATCAAGCTCACAGACTTCGGGTTTGCCAAGAAGCTGGTGGACAGGTGAGAGGGGGATTAACTCTGATGGGATCTATGATACTTGAACATGAGGATGGTCATCGATGGTTGTGGCAGGACAGGTGGGAAAGATTGGTAGCCAGTGCTGAGCCCCTCACGTGTGAAGAGGCCTTTCAAGGAGGGATGGAAGAGCCAGCTTGGCTCTTGCAGGTTCAGAGGCTCGGAGCCCACAGTCTGTCCTCTGCAGGGTCTGGTGCTGTAAGTCCCAGGCTCAAGGCAAAGTCCCAGCCTCAGTTCCACCTCATTTTAGGTGGACTGGGGTCATCGGCAACGTGCAAATAGGTAGGTGGTCACGTTTCCTTCCCCCACCGAGAACCTATTAAATCATGACATTTCCATTGTTGGAGTGATAAGGAAATAAGTCTTATCTACATTTGGCCCTATCTATAAAATAGATTTGCAGTGATCGCGATACAAAAGAGCTGTTAAACTTGCACATGAAACAGGCACACATTTATTTCTGTTATCTAAATTTCTACTATGTATATATGTATTTCCATGTTTCTATTCTACATGTATGTAAAATACAAATATATACAATACCATATTTATATGTGATGTGTATTATAGTTTATATGGGGGGGTGCCAAAAAAACATGTATACATTTTAAGTGATGTTATCTATGTATTACTTTTCGAAGTTGATTTAACTTATGGTAGCAATGTGTAGTGTGATGTTTGCTCAACTTTGCTTCCATCGCTTTCTTTGACTGTCCTGCCTAGCATTCATTTAATTAATGCCGTTTTTTGAGCAAACATCATACTTAAAATGTGTATAATTTTTTTGGCCTCCGGTACATATACTGTTCTTGTATGTGTGTGTATAATATTACTCAGGGTTCTTCAGAAAAGCAGAACTAATAGGAGAGTGTCTTTACTCAGTATCCATGGAGGATTGGTTCCAGGGCCCCTGTGGATACCAAAATTCAGGAATGCTCAAGGTTTGGTTTTTTTTTTTGAGTCAGAGTGTCACTCTTGCACACTCTGGAGTGCCTTGGCACGATCGTGACTCACTGCAGCCTCTACCTCCTGGGCTCAGGTGATTCTCCCACCTCAGCCTCTCGAGTAGCTGGAACTACAGGTGTGCACCACCACACCTGGCTAATTATTTAGGTTTTTTTGGTAGAGATGAGGTCTTGCTTTGTTGCCTAGGCTGGTCTTGAATGCCTGGCTCAAGCAATCCTCTTGCCAGGGTGCTAAGGTGCTCAAGTTTTTTATACAAAATGTTGTGGTATTTACATTTAATCTGTTCACATTCTTCCTTATACTTTATATCATCTCTAGATTACTTATAAATACAATTATATATATTATACTTATATATTATGTTGCTAACTTGTTAATACTATATAATTTATAATTATGTAGTATTAATAAAATATAGTTATTTACTATATAATTTATAATTTATAGTACTAATATAATTAGTTAAAATACAATTTACATGTATTATACCTAATACAATGTACATGCTGTTTTAAATAGTTATTATACGACATTTTTTAATTTGTATTATTTTTTATTGTGGTGTTATTCATTCATTTAATGACTTATTTATTTTGAATATTTTTGATCCGACACTGGTTGAATTCATAGATGCAGAACTTGTGGATATAGAAGGCTGGTAGTGTATGTGTACATATATAAATAAATAATTGACTCGGTCAGTTGTGGCGTCTGAGCAGTCCTACGATCTGCCCTCTGCAAGCTAGAAAGAACAGATCTCCGATGTTGTAAGTCCCAGTCAGAGGGCAGAATTTTGGTTCAAGTAGTCAGTCAAGAGAAAGCAAACTCTCCTTTTGTAAATCTTTTTGTTTTATTCAGGTGCTCAAAAGATTGGATGAGGCCCACCTACACGGAGGAGGGTAATCTGTTTTACTCAGTTAACCGATTCAAATGCTGATCTCTTCTGGAAACACCCCACCCCCACACACGTCCAGAAATAGCATTTGACCCAATATCTGGGCATCCCATGGCCCAGTGAAGTGACACACAAAATTAACCATCACATGTCGTCTTAGCCAGTTCAGGCTGGGTGGCTTAGAAGCAACACACACGTGTTTCTCACAGCTCTGGAGGCTGGAAGTCCAAGGTCAAAGTGTGTAGATTCTGTGTCTGGTGAGGATCTGCTTCCTGGCTCATAGGCAATGCCTTTTAACTGTGTCTGCATGTGGTGAAGGGGCGAGAGAGCTCTCTAGGGTCCCTTTCATAAGGATGTGAATCCCGTTCTTGAGACCCAACCCTCATAACCTCCTCCCCTCCCAGAGGTCCCAGCTCCCAACTCCATCAGCTTGCAGATGAGGGTTTCAGCATAGGAATGAATTTGGGGGGAGACACAAACATTTGGTCCATAACACATGTATATGAACATTTTTTATTTTATTTCTATTATGCATTAGTTCATTATTTCCAGTAGTTTAACTGAACAGATGTGACAAAGAGCTGTAGCCTGGAGCACTTAAAGAGCAGTTATTTATCCTCTCTTGTCTTGGAGGCCGGCTCCTCCCAAAGCTTCTCTCCTGGGCCTGAAGACGCCATCTCCTCCGCATCCTCACTGGGTCGCCTGTCTGTGCGTGTCTGTGGTCTCATCTCCTCTTCTTACGAGGATCCCAATCCTACTGGATCAGTGCCTACCCTAGTGACTTCAGTCTGCCTGAATCCCCTCTTAGAAGATTTGTCTCCAAATACAGTCACATTCTGAGGCCCTGGGGGTACAGGCTTCAATGTATGAATTTTGAAGGGGACACAGTTCAGCCTGGGGCAGTTACATATAGATATCTTTCCTTTTATTCATTCATTTATTGTGGGACAGTTGCATATAAATAGCTTTCCATTTATTTATTTAGAGCTGAGGTCTCACTCTCTTGCCCAGCATGGCACAATTATGGCTCACTGCAGTCTCAGCCTCTAGGGTTCAGGAGATCCTCCCACCTCAGCCTCCCAAGTAGCTGGGGCTACAAGTATGTGCCCTCTCTCCTGGCTAACTTGTACATTTTTTTTTTTTGAGTTGGAGTCTCACTCTGTCGCCCAGACTGGAGTGCAGTGGCCACTCCCGGCCACTGCAGCCTTGACCTGCTGGGCCCTGGTGATCCTTCCACCTCAGCCTTCCGAGTAACCGGAATTACAGCATGTGCTACCACGCCTGGCTGATTTTTTGATTTATTGTAGAGATGATGTCTCGCCAAGTTGCCCAGGCGGGTCTCGAACCCGCGGGCTCAGGCAATCCACTCACCTCAGCCTCCCAAAGGCGCGGGATTACAGGCTGAGCCACCGAGCCCAGCTAAATTTTTTTTTACAGAGACGAGATCTTGCTGTGTTGCCTTGGGTGGTCTCGAACTTCTGGACTCAAGAGATTCTCCCACCTTAGCCTCCCAAAGTGCTGAGATTAAAAGCATGAGCCCCACACCAGCTGAATTTCTTATGTATACGTTTCATACATATGTATGTGTATATATTCCACTGAGAAGAAAATAATTATCCTTCTTTAACCCAATAACATTGTCCTTGAGAAAGATGATAAAAAGACAGATTGTCCTCAAGGGCTCTTGGAACTAGCTGTGGCGCCAGGCTTTATGTGGGTCCCACAGATTATGCAATCTTTAGAGTCCTCTTTAAGGAAGGAGGTGTCGGCCACAAATCAACATTCGGTTCAGGAAGGGGTTTAGCCAAGCAAGGGACCCGAAACTTTCGCGTCCTTAGTTTCTTGGGGTGATGCCTCTTCTGGGCACAGACACACTGCTCCGCAGGTGCACTGTGTGGCCTGGCTGTCCCTTCAGTTTCCTGTGGAGTCACCTCTTTCCAATCCCACCTGTCCTCACCACTTTCTTTTCTGTTTTTAAACAGTTTTATTGAGATATTATTCACATACTGTAAATTCATCCACACAAGGAACTTAGTGGTTTTTATTATGTTTCTAGATATGTATAACTAGATATGTTTCATCACTTAAAAGAGCCATCTCCTGTCCCCTCTTTCCCTCCAGCCCAAAGCAACTCCCCACCTGTGTTCTGTCTCTGGATTTGCCAGTTCTGGACATTTCATGTAAGTGGAATCATTCAGTAGGAGTCCTTTTGTGTCCAGCTTCCGTCACAGAGCATGACGTCTTCTCAAGATTCATCTTTGTGTCCGAGCTCCCTTCCTTATCACGGCCAAGGCGTATTTCACATGTGCATGGACCACCCTTTGTGCATCTGTTCATCCCCTCATGGACACTTGAGTTGTTTCCACTTTGGGGTTGCTGTGGATAGGGCTGCTCTGAACACTCAAGCTCCCCTCTCTGTTTCCAGTCCCCTCAACACAAGGGATCCTCAGCTTGACCCTGGCAGGACCAATAACCTCACTCGCTCTGATGTGGCCCAACTATGTTCTTTCCCTATGTTGCCAGGGTGGGAGGTGCCACCAGCAAAAGGTGGCATGTCCAGACTGTCACAGGAGATGACATTCAATCCCTTACACACGCTCAGGTTGCAAGCTTGGCGTTCTGCACGTTGATTTTTCTTTCACAGAGAACTTTTACATTTCTTTATATGGTTTCAAAATATCTGAGCCACATGATATAACATTTGAAAGATCCTGGAGAAGAAGCGAGTTGCCATCCTTGCCAGTCACAGAGGTAACGCCCTGGGCCCTGGTTACTGAGTCTGGAGGCGATTCTAGCTCTGTGAAAATAAGACATTTCAAGAAGCCTTGGGGTAAAATCCTTCTCACCTTGCCCCTGGCTGAACTGACTAGATAACTATCTCCACATTCTCTCCTACTCATGCATTGCCATCAGTTAGCATTTTGCAGCCTCAGAGTGATGTCTTGAGCGATGATGTCTGGATTTTTGGTGAACTGTCTTAAGTCAGCAGGAGAGACCTGTTGTTGCCAAATTTGGTGACAGTGGTTTCATTTTACTGCCTCAGAATGATGAGGAATGATGTGTGGATTTTTGGTAAAGAATTTGAACTACCTGGGAAGACCCAAGCGTGCCAAATTTAATGAGA